CACATACATATGTACGATTTTTTCGTGGCTATCTGTGGCTATTTTTTTGTATAGCGATTATAATTTTAAGCTGGGATGAATTTAACAGTATAAATCGTGAAACGTCGTGGTACAAGACGTATGAAACCATTTTTTCTTTCTCCCATGGGATTTTCAGTAATATTGCTTTATCCGAACCATCAATTTTGCTATACCGGACGTATGTATTGCTGACAGCGTTGCCAAAAATTCTTTCTCTTTCGATATAGGCTTCGGTAATCCAAGTCTTTTGGGAGTTGGAGAGGTGGGAGCATCTTTCTATTGTTTTCATAGTGGCTTTGACAGGTTCCAGCCTTAACCAGTGTCCTTTGCTATTCTTAATGTTTGAAGCTGTGAAGTGTTAAGCCTTTTCTCTGAAAATGCGTCGAAGCGTACATTAATATTTGTTCTGGGGTTTAGCTTATTTATTGTTATCTTGTGCTATTTGTGCTTTTAGTGGCCATCAAAAGCGAAAAGGAAGCTTCATTGATTCTGTTCAGTATTTAGCTCCACAGAATAAAATCCTGATGTGTATTTTCTTTTTCTAGTACGCAGTGGTTTAGGATCGCTGCTTTGTATCGTGCTTTTACAAGCTGTCGAATATTGGTCTCTTGTATGATTTACTGGCTGATGATAGGATTGAGAGGTTAGTTGAACAATCGTTTTGAATTCTCTGATTACTGTATTGAACTCAGTCATTCCAGCAGCCAGTCATGCCTCAGTCTCTGTCTAAGTTCTCTTCGATCAATTCTCCAATTGGAGGTGGACGGAATAGGATGGAGCAGTGCGTCGCCTGTTCTAGTTAGCAAACTTGCTACTTTGGTTACGGGTCAGTTTCGGAAGTTCAGCACATTGTACTATCTGTTTTTTCTGATTTGTTTTTCTTTATGTGCGTGAGAAAATAGTGGGTAATGCTTCAAGGTAGAGCAAAACGAGAGGATTCAAATGTGGTTTTGATTGCTCTAGATATGATTGAACAACTTCTCAATAGCGACAGGTGCGATTCATTACTTTTCAGCTTAAATTAAATGAAATATGAACTTCATGGAAGATGTTTTGTTGTTTTTCATATCTCAAATTACTGCAACTTTAGCGAAATCATTCGCGAACTTGTGCTGGCTGAAGTGCCTGCTCAATCGTTGATACGTCATTTGGAGAAATCTGACGAAAGGGTTGCCCTTGCAGCTTTATCGCTTATGAATGCTTTGCATGAGAAGAGCGATGCGCCGAGTCGTGAGCAAATTGTTAAGGTGAGCTCATTTTGTATGAACCATAAATTGAGTTAGTTTTATTGTTGACTTCAAATTGCTTTATTAGTCTCGCTCGTTTGAAACTTGCTTTCTTGCCTGGGCAGTAAATGGAAATTGTGTGAAGGGAGGACCTAGGGTATTATCATTCTGTAGTTTATGAGATCGCGAAATTGTAAAAAAGTTGATTGAGGTGCGAGAGTTACCTGGTTGTTATCCGATCTCGGCAAAGCATTCATTTTTTCCATCTTTTCATGATTGTCTCACAATTGCGCTTAGCGTTTCGTTGTATTTCCCGATTTCGGAATGATGAATTTTACCTGACCTCTGGGGTCTCTGATTCTTTTGTGATTGATTCAGTTATGAAATTGTTAACTATTATTTCATCCCAGCATTTCGCTTCCGTACCGTTCCACACTGCTATCAGAGGAAGTGTACTGAGAGAAGGTCGATCTCGTGATGCAGCTCTTCTTAACCAGCTCGCACCTCTGCAACGACTGCTCATCGAGGAACGCACAAAGTCCTTGGGAGAACCTGTCATAGAGAGCGATGTGGAGGCGTTACTTGTAAGGCTCATTCCATTGTTACACGACTAACTTGCTCGAAAAATGTTAACCATTGTGAGGGTTCTCTCATATTACAGAGCCGTGATGCAATTCGTTCGTCAGCTAAGGACGACGCGCAGCTGGGCGAGTGGTCGGATCAGTTACTTACAACGCCACTGGGTAAATTAGCGATTGATACCTTCACGAAGTACGCCGATCAACATTCTGAGGATTTACGTATTGTGAGTGATTCCTATCTTTTTTTCTTCTATTATTTACATTGCAGTATTTCCTGCAAACGGCATATGAGTGATTGTGCCGATTAGTAAAATGGCAACTTTATAGGCCTTAGCACCCCTTCCTCCCTCCCCCTCTGCTCCTTGGAAAAGGTTTGGGGCATCACTTTCGCCTAGGGAAGGTCTTATCTTATATTGATGCATCCCACTATCGAGAGGTCTATAATTTAACTTTTTTAATGCTTTCCCTACATTCATGGGAGCATGTGTCGTGGTGGCGAGTATTGTCTCCCTACCCTTTGTCGACCATTAGATCAAATCCAAGTAGGCTGCAGATTTGTAAATGAGGTAGTAGGATTTCATTTCTTGGCCTAACTCTCATGCGACAGTAGAAACATCATCTCCTCTGGACGTTGTGTTGTCCCAGTTGCATTGACTGCCGCCAAAACTGTGAGTGGTATTCTTATAAAAGGCTACAGTCGTACACCAGAAATCAAATGCCTTTTACGGATTTTCCTTGTTTATTCGTTAGAGCGCGATGTTTACATATGTAACGTGAATAAATCATAGTGTTGATGGAGCACTTAAAGGCGGTCATTTTTTGTGATCGATTCAGATCATATTCGGCATTATTTCTTCGTCTCACCGCCACCATCAGCAGCTGGTACTTTCTCAAACTGTACATTTACACGACTGATACCTGTAAACATTT